ACTATCTTTTGGGGGGCGTTATACTCTAAAACTGATAATTCAGTGTTATGCAGGCCAAATACGAGTCTGAAGGCCATATAGAAATTGTGTTAATACTGAAAAAATACATATGTTTAAAAATTGGAATGTTATACTAGTTTGGATTTATCTGTATGACATCTGTTGTATAAACTTACTTTCTCGGGAGATTTAAATAGAACTTCCCAAATGTCATGGCAGAAGGCTACCACTTTTTCTGGCCCCAGTGACATACAAACTTCAGTTACAATGAGATTTATTGAAAATTGCTTGAGTGTCTTTGAATCCTAATTTTGGTTCTCAAAATAAGAAACAAACCATGCTGACATCTGGAAGGATGCATATGCCTTTGATATGATCTTGACTCTTTGACAGAAGGAAAGGAAAAAGAATATTGCTTGTTTCAGGAGTGCAATGTCAAAATATCCTTTCACTGCGATCTTTTAAATATATTACACCTTCCTCTTTTTTAAAGATATCATAAAGCATTTTGCATAGTGTCATCATATGGAGACCACCATATTCCTATAATGAAAACAGTAGGCTGAGTATTTTAACCTCAGGCTACAGACGGGCTGTAGAGTCCTTGCTAAGGGAGCTATACTGAGTGGGTAATAAAGCCAAGAACAAATCTTGCCCTTTGACTTTTAGTGATTCTATTTAATGTTCTGTTTTCCAAAGGAAAAACTGCTCAGCCAATATATGCTAGGGTGATACATGGTAGGGCTAATCTCACTGTATAACACAGCTTTGACTTGATAAGACAGATCCTGCAAGGGAAAGATCCTGCTGACCTCATTTTGTCCTTTCTGGGTATCAGGTGACTAATAGTCAGAAGGTTTCACCCAGTGTGGGTATCTGTATTTAACAAAACATAAAGGAGCTTTTAAACTTGGGGCTTAGAGAATATGACAAGAGAGTTATTTGAGATCAGCTGAACCTAGTTTGTAAAAAAGCTATATCTAGCTTCCCAAACATATACAGTAAACCTTAGAAGTTATACAACAAGTTGTTGTACACATCTCTAGGTTCTCTTTAATAACCTGAGGAAAGCCTCAACCAGTCCCCGTGTTGCTCCAAGGTGGATCTTGTTTGGATCCTGTGTTCCTTCTGCCCTGCTTGGGAGGGGGCTGTTTCTTACTTGCAGAGCCCAGGAATGGCTGTGACCATATGTTTGCAGTGACTTGGAGGGGAGTGAGTCTCCCTGTGCTGGCAGCTGCACACTCCCTGACATGCTGCTGAAACTGGGAAAAGTTTCCAAGCCTTTTCAGTAGGAAACATACTTTCCTACTTAGTGTCTCTGTGCCTTTCCCAGCAAACTTCGTGTGCAACACTGTTAAATATCCCCCAGCATCAGTGGCCAAGAATAGCACAGTTCTGTGACTTCTCAGTCACTTCATATTCCACATGATGGGAGTTTTCTTCCTAAGAAGGGGAAGAGAGAAAATTGGTAAGAGCTGGGTGTCTCAAACATAATCTTTTGGGTAGTTGGTCCACTAAGGTACCCAGATATCAACCAATCTGACTGGAGAGCTTTCTGTTCTTCTCTGGGTCTGTCATTCATTAGGAATGATATTAAAGTTTAAAGGATAGTAGTCAAATGGCATTGCCTTTGGCAAATCTGACAAACACATCTGCTTTTTTCCAGGCAGGAGAAACCCCACTTCCAAGGGGCCAATTTATAAATATCATTGCCTGGTCCTACAAAATGAAGATAGTTCTAATTAGAGTAACAATCCATGGTGTTGGGCATTAGTAAATACTATCTCATTCTGCTGTCCTTACCTGTTAGGGACCTGGCTGCAGGGCTCTACCACATCCCCCCAACACACAAAGCTTCCTGGCCCCTGGAAAAACTATCTTCCATGAAACTTAGGAAAGGGGGATGCAGGGGACACACAGCTAGAGGCGAGCAAACAAAGTTTCATCTGTATTTATAGCTGCTCCCCATCACTCACATCACTGCGTGAGATCCACCTCCCTTCCCCTCACCTGTCCGTGAACAAACTGTCTTCTATGAAATGATCCCTAGTGCCAAAAAGGTTGGGGACCGCTGATTCATGTGTGATTTTAAAACCCACAAAACTTCTATTACATGGATTTTACTCAACCATTTAAAACTGAGTATCACCCATGAAACTATTGTAAGTGCTGGGATTTATACATTTTTTTTTAAAAAGGGCTACAGAGATGTTTTGGTGGGTTCTTCCTCAAAGGATCATTCTGATATGCTATCTCAAGGGTACATTGAAGCTACTTAATGACTATCAAAAATGATACCTGACTCTGGCCTCTGTCCTAAAAATATTTGCTCTCAGTCACACACACAAAATCAAATTTTCATGTGAAAAATATCCTGGCCAATCTATAATTTAAATATTAAAATATATATTTGGTTACTTTCTCCCAAAATCATGATAATTATAATCATTGGACATTTTACACACCTAGAAGTATGTTAAGAAAGAAAATTGAAACCTTAAGGTATAATCATATCTTGTAAAAGAGATTTAACAGCAGCAATTAGCTTAGGTTCTGCCAACTATTAGATAAATTTGGAAGCCAGGAAAAATAATCAAGACACTAAGATTCATGTTTTAATCGGTCACATTGGAGTAGTTACCATAATAGACCTCATTAAAAGAAGTATTGTATTCCATGTAGCTATATTAAATATTCAAGCATCCCAGAAGCTAGTAATACCATATGTTTCCTGTTTCCTGAGAAACTTCTTCAGTTCAGCAGGCTAGAAGCATCCTTCGAAGTTCTTGTGTTTGCCTTGTGTTAAAGTTTCATAGTCTTTAAATGCATCTGTAATGATAAAGATACTGGAGTAGATCCAGTTTGCAGAGTCAATAAAATGCACAAGAGGATTCCTGTTATTGTTTTCTCACCTCATTAACAAAGAAAATCCCATATATAAGGCCGGGCGCTGTGGCTCACGCCTGTAATCCTAGCTCTTGGGAGGCCGAGGCGGGCGGATTGCTCGAGGTCAGGAGTTCAAAACCAGCCTGAGCAAGAGCGAGACCCCGTCTCTACTATAAATAGAATGAAATTAATTGGCCAACTGATATATATAGAAAAAATTAGCCGGGCATGGTGGCGCATGCCTGTAGTCCCAGCTACTCGGGAGGCTGAGGCAGGAGGATCACTCAAGCCCAGGAGTTTGAGGTTGCTGTGAGCTAGGCTGACGCCATGGCACTCACTCTAGCCTGGACAACAAAGCGAGACTCTGTCTCAAAAAAAAAAAAAAAAAAAAAAAACCTCCCATATATAAAGAAAAATCTCAGTAGATTGATATTAAAAAACTCAAATTACCATCTTCTTCATAGTCAGTAGTGTTAATAATTCCCTGCTGGAAGGCAGATGGATTTATATTCTTTGAAATACAGTTAATTCAAAATACTGCATACTTTTTGGAATAGTTGGTCCCATGAAGTATGAACTCGGACATATTTGTTTGCTTCAAAGTGAAACAAAAATGATGATTACCTTTTAAGAGGAAAAGAATGAATTTCACAATAATGTATGTAAAATCGTCTTTTCATTCCTGTTATCTTAGTGATTAGGTTTTTAATGCAGATTTACAGCCCCAAACTTATTTGTTCTCTTGAGACCAAATAGAGAAGCTAGCTAGATAGGCCAGCACTGCAGAGGAGCCACGAAAAGAGAGCGCCCCTCTCTCCAGGGAAATGTTTACTTAGCATTTAGTAAAGGGCATGGAATGTCAGTATATAAACCTCTGGACTTTCTAATTGATAATAACTTGGTACATTTTGCTTAGGTTCATGTTCAATAGAATGTTTTCATTTCTCTATTATTAATAGTTTTAGCTTTGATTGAGGAGTCAGTATAAATTCAAATGTTCCTTTGCACTCACAGTGAATATAAGGCTGTCCCTTTCACTTATAATTGATTAGTAGGAATATGAAACGTTTGTGAAACTGTGAAAATGTTAAGAAATTTATAGCTTTTCTTTGTATTTACCCCCTAAACAAGCTTAGAAGCATAGAAGACCCCCTATTCCCTCATCCAAGTTGCCTGCTTTAGCAGCAGTAAAGCTGGTGTCGGAAACTTGAATCTGGGGTAAATTCTAAATGATGTGGCATCATAATTTATTTTAATTGCTGGAAGATAATAATGGCTAATAAATAGCAAGATCTTGAGATCTAACTTTTGTTGGAATTAGTGGGATTCAATTTCCTGGTGTTTTCTCTAAACTTAAATAAGGCATTTCTATACTTTGTGAAAGATCATTAATTTAACTAGCTTTAGCTTACTTTTTCAAATTAAAATATATGTGAAGATAAAATATAATGAATTTGAGTTTTTAGAAGAAAGCTGATATCTAAATCTATGGTATCTTATAGTGAAATTTCACAGTAGCAGGAGCTGGTTATAGAATTAACTAAAACCCACCAGTGTGTGTTGGAGGAGCTCCTAAGAACACAGCAGCCTCATAAAATAAAATACTGCTTGGCCTGAGGAGACAGCTATAAAGCTGTCCTGATTATAGTGTATGAGTTTGTGGCCATCTCTTTATCAATAGTAGAAAAAACAATTATGATATATGTGAGCACAGAAAATCTAGAAAAAGATGTGGTAAGGAAATTTATTATTATTTAAGAAAAATAGTATGTGTTATTACTTACCAAGTGTAATTTTTGCATTCTTATTAAAGCAAAATAACTTGATTAAAAATTGAGAATTGCAAAATCTCCATAACCAAATGGTTGCATATTACTTAGTACTTTTAAAGTGATACTTTATTGCTCTGCTTTAAGCACTAATTCAAAGAAATATTCACGATCTAAGAGTCTGTGTGGGTCATTTCTTTAAGGATTTAGGAAAGGATTTCTACTTCACTATGCTTTATCTGTTACCAAAAATTAATGCTGAATTGAAAATAAATTTTAAGTTAAAGTATCATGATGAATGTTTAGAAAGTTCTCCAACAATTTACTACTATTTATTTCTTGCAGGCTTGTACAGCATATGTGGATTTTATGGTTGCTGTGGCCAAATTGATTCGTCAGGAGCAAAGCTTGCCAATCAATGAAAGCCAGATAACATTGGAAATGAATAAAGTTATGGAATTGGAAAAAGAAATTGCCAATGTAAAACACATTTTTTTCAATACACTGAATAATGTCAACCACTTTTTTTTCTTTCCTCTCTCATGTTTTAAGGGTAAAAGGTGAAACTCTTTAACCAACTGATAAAAATGCATAGCTCAGTAATAGTTCATTGACTTTAAGAGGATCTTTGAAACTATAGAATTTTGTATCAAATTGAAATCCAAGAGACACCCTAAATTTGACAAATTTTGAACTGGAAACACTGACTTGCCTATTTTAAGTGGATTACATCAGAATTTTGCCATCTACAGTCAAACTGTTATTAGATGTCCTTGGGACTCAGGACACACGCAAAGCTGTTTTAGTTTTGTTATATGCAATTTTACTTTATTCTAAAGTTTAAGGTGATCACAGAGATTGTCTCTATCCCTTTGTTAAGAAGTATTAAACCCCTGAACATGGTCACATGTGACGACTGAGTTCAGACTGTCAGGCGGCTGAGCTAAAGGAATGTAAGACAAGAAGAAATTAGCAGCAAAGTCCAACAGGTGCACTCCTGAATTTCCTATGGTTCTAAATAAACCCTTGGAGTCTGAGTTGGCACTTTCTTCTCTGACACTCCTTTGACAGCTCTGCAGTCTCAAATGAGTGAACTCTGAGTTCTGAGTGGCATCTAGGTTATTGATTGAACCCATGGTCAGATTTGCCCTCTGTGTCATTGCAAACAACAATCTGCACCCCTAGCTCCCTGTATTCTTGCCCCTGTCATCTGGCTTCATAAGAATATTGAAGAGTAAAGGTTTTAGAGGGCAATTTTAGCTTTCCTGGGGCTACATGAAACCAGAAATCTTCAATCAGAACTAGAATGTGCTTGGAGCTGCTGCTGGATGAATGGCAGTAATGGGTTACATGTGGTTCTATGTTGGAAACAGAGTTGTTAGGGAAGAACAATACTGTCCTGGGTTTTTACCACTTATACCTTTCTAAACCATGTTTTCTTTTCTTTTCTTCTGTTTTCTTTTTCTTTTTCTTTTTTGAGACAGAGTCTCCCTCTGTTGCTCAGGCTAGAGTGTCGTGGCATCAGCCTACCTCACAGCAGCTTCAAACTCCTGGGCTCAAGAGATCCTCCTGCCTCAGCCTCCTGAGTAGCTGGGACTGCAGGCACACACCACGACACCCAGCTAATTTTCTATTTTCAGTAGAGATGGGCTCTCCCTCTTGTTCAGGCTGGTCTTGAACTCCTGAGCTCAAGCAATCCTCCTGCCTCAGCCTCCCAGAATGCTGGGATTACAGGGGTCAGCCACTGTGGCCAGCCCCGTGTTTTTCTCTGACCAGCCTCAGCTCAGTAGCAGTTCAGTCTTACTCAGAATTATGTGTCTGTATTTTCACTCTTGTCTTAGACTCTGAGATTAGCAAGGGGTCTTAGTCATCTTTGAACCATGTTATATATCTCTAACCATATCCAGCATAGTATTCCATGCAGGAGATGTTTAATTAATAATTGTTGTCAATCAAAGAATAAATGAGCCTAAAAGGGGGGAAAATGGAGCTATTGTCACTGAGAAATAATTCTCATTTTAAACTTTTATCTTTTGTCTCTTCTCATTTAAAATTGCCTTTACTTATTTGAACCAGTAATTGGGAAGTCACAATGGCAATTTTGTTTTTTTAATTCAGTGAGGAAGAAAAATTGGTTGTTGTTGTATGTAAAGGACTAAACAGTTCAGACAGGGTGGGAAGACAGTCACAAAAGTAGATGATGTTGCCATTCTCCTAAGATAACTTGCAACCTAACTGTGGTATGTACTAGGAATTTTCTGTGTTACTTGCTATAAATTCTTGTAAAAACTGTTGCACTTTTTTTCTCCCTGGGTGAATTTTAAGTAGGACACTAAATGATAGTGGTGGGAATGGGAGATAGACTATTTGAGAGATAAATTGGAAATGACTATATCCAAGAAAGTTATAATGAAATAGCTACAGACACAACTGGCCATGAGCCATAGCCTGCAAATATTGTTATGTGCCTTGGCAGTTGTCAAAATATAGAAAGATTTCTGAATTTTAAAGTTAGTATTGCAGCCAAATCTCAAAATTGTTACTGTTTTAAATTTCATTTTTTAATATGACAAAATAAATTATAAAACAAGTAAATCAGATTATGCTGTACCTATTTGACATATTTTTTCTCATACATAGTTATATTTTTCTAAAGAACTTTTAGTTCTAAAATAATGACCAAAAATTAAATCCATAGGCTACAACTAAACCCGAAGATCGAAATGATCCAATGCTTCTTTATAACAAAATGACATTGGCCCAGATCCAAAATAACTTTTCACTAGAGATCAATGGGAAGGTAAGTGGCAAATTTTATGTACCCTCTTACTGTGCCATTTTCTAAAATTATAACATTGAAATACCATTTTAAAAATTCACTGATTTCTTATTTATTAAAATAAATTGAACTTCAAAATGAATTTCGTTGACACCAGCCGCATAACTTTACGACAAAAAACTACCTGAAATCATTATATATATATTAAGTTGGAGTGAATTTCAAAGGTAAAAGTCCTTTTAAAGCTGCTAGCTATACGATAATATTAGAAAATATCACAGAAAAGGGTTAGGAAAACATTAAAACTGAAAATCTTTCTGAGAGCCCATTATATAGTCATCAAACTTGGACAAACAATAAAAGTACTAGATTTCTTTTTAACTCCTAAAAAGGATCATTTGCTCATAGAATTTTCAATATTCTCATCAAGGCCATCTACAGAGATATGCAGAACAATAATAAAGAACGAGAACACAGAAATGAGTAGAAAATCTCTCTCATAGATTCCATTTGTAAACATCCATTGACTCTTTTTGCTTAGCTAGTATCCAGTAATTTTTTGGGGGGCTATGCATTTATTCTCTTGTATTAGTTAATGTACTGAAGAAATGAAGTCAAGAAATGAAGCAACATCTATGGGAAAATCTACAAACTACCACAGTCAGTGATGGAATTCTCTTTGGCAGTAATTCTAGTAAACAAGGACTCTTTAAAAGGCATTAACTTATTGAGTTAGACATTTCTTACATATAATTTTTAATATAATAAATGTTTAATAAAAAATATTTTGAAAGAATGGTCCAAACCACCCAAGGAAATCAATAAAAGTATATAGAATAGTACCTCATACTAGAAAGACAAGATTCCATCTTTTAACATCTCCAAACTTAGCTTCTAAAGTATAAAAACTGCATGCCCATAGACTCAGTAATTTAAAATGTAGTGTGTTTTTTGTTGTTGTCTTTTGTTGTTTTTGTTTGACTTCATAACATCATTGTACCTTTGTTATAACAATGTGTCTTTGTTTACAGCAAGATCTCCAGTGGGATTTGTTACTGTATTTAAATAAATTGTTTATTAATAACCACTTTTAAAGGATAAACACTTTATACACATTTTCATTTGTACATAAACCAAAAAACCTTATTTTTAAAGTTTTCTTTTTCTTAGATTTTTTATATTGGTTAGATCAAGAATATGACATTGAGCCTAATTCTAATTGTTATGTTCTCTAAGCTTAGAGGCTTTGTTTTTGCTCTTAAATGGTTCATTTAATACTGCTATCTAAATAATCATGTTGCAGAACTTATTTTTATTCAAAAACTGTTTGAAACAATTGAGAGAAAACTCCAAACAGATATCAAACTGACCATTGTGATACCTTTTCGTGATGTCACTGACCCCCTTTAATGTCTATCCTTCTAACAATAATTGAATGTTGAAACCGAGAAGACAAATCCATAATTACTGAATGTTTTATGCCTGCTTTTATTTCCAGCCATTCAGCTGGTCAAATTTCACAAATGAAATCATGTCAACTGTGAATATTAATATTCCAAATGAGGAAGCTGTGGTTGTTTATGCTCCAGAATATTTAACCAAACTTAAGCCTATTCTTACCAAATATTCTGCCAGGTAGGTATGCCACAGTGCCCATGTCGTCAAAGTTTACATTTCATATCACTCTTTAGAAGCTTTGCAGCCTCATCTTTTCTGTTGCTGGGTGGTGGGTTTTTTTATACAGAGATCTTCAAAATTTAATGTCCTGGCGGTTCATAATGGATCTTGTAAGCAGCCTCAGCCGAACCTACAAGGAGTCCAGAAATGCTTTCCGCAAGGTGAAGAAAAAATCTCTCTTTTCTTAAGACTTAAAGCATAAGGTGATACATGGTTATAAAGGCTTGCCATGTACGACTGCTAGAGTGTGGTGAACTTTGCCAAGGGACAAAATGCCACATTTTGATTATTTTGTACATGTTTAGGATATGTTGCCTAGGAAAGATCAGTCTCCCTGGGCGTTACCATCCTATGATAGTCTATGTGGCACCATGAATGCATTGCCCTGTGAAAAGTTTCATTTGGTTATTTGAGCAGTTCATAAAAGAATACTGCCTTGATTTTGTTGTTGTTGTTGTTATGTTAAAAATAATTACAGGGATATCTATGTCAATCAACTTAATTTTCAGGTGCTCATTGCACACTGGACTGATTTTCAGGTGCCCATTGCACACAGATTGACTACAGTGACGTGGACAATCTACTGAGAGTACACCTACCTGGACATAACTTGGAGTCCTTTTCTTAGGCTGTACCTACATTATTTAAACAATCATCATTTTAGTCCTATTGTGAGGGGAGTAGGCAGCAGGAATTGAGGAAGGAGAGATTTTAGCAAACATGTTGGTTGGTGTCCTGGAAAGAAAATAACTCTGACTGATTGAAATTTCTAGTTTTTACCCTTAAAAAGAAAATGTAGACACATTTTTTTAAATTAATGCAAAAATGGTATCGTGCTAAATTTTCCTTGCCTAAATTAATCCCCTTATAATATATAGATTTAGACACATACAGTTCTTCAATGTACCCAAAGTTCAGCTAAAACATTAAAAAGCAGGAATGTGTTTTCTTGTATACCAGATTTCCCCCCTGTTACACTTATTGAACATTACCTCACATTTATGTTTATGCAGTGGTTACAATGTTGTATTTTTTTTTTATAGCTTTCTAGGATGATATTACCTTGTAATAGCCAAAAGTTCTAGTGGGACTTGCTACTGAAATATACTTTGTTTTCAGATTATATATAAGTAAACAATCCAGTCAGATTACATTTTATCAGAGGCTAGGGACACGTGCCTTGTGAGGAGAAGCAATGAATATTGCGAGAACTTATAAGGAATAGAGTCATGTGAAATTTGTGCTCTTACCCTACCCCAGCCCTCTACTCCTGATCAAACGCCATTTCCTCCTTCTCTTCCACAGGCCCTTTATGGCACAACATCAGAAACAGCAGCTTGGAGACGCTGTGCAAACTATGTCAATGGGAATATGGAAAATGCTGTGGGAAGGCTGTATGTGGAAGCAGCGTTTGCTGGAGAGAGTAAACATGTGGTAATGTTTTCACAACAGTACACCTTCAGTTACACAGCGCCATCAGTTTGCATTGATGGACAGTTACAGTTGTCCAACCTTTGGCTAAAATTGTATTAATTAGGCAGAGAAACTCTGTATCATAATGTGCCACTGTTTTCCAATAAATCTCACCCTACCTTCCCCAGTGGCCTAGTTGTGTTTTTACTCCTAATATTGTTCAGTTCAAAGCCAACTCTCCATTTTCCAGAAGCAGTATATTCAAAGAACCCAGCCACCTGGGCTACTGATACAGTCATTTGTAAACTCTTCTATTATAAAAATTGACTAAGAATTACTACTTTTTTAAAAACCTAAAAAGTAACAACCAGGGTTTATTTGAAGTGTAAAAATGCATTCCATAACTGAAATCAAGACAATAGAACTTGATATGGTGAAAGAATCTATTGAAATATTACTTCATGTTTAGCTAAACCACTAATGGTAATAACAGCTAATATTTTGTGTTAGTTCTTTTCATTTGATAGTGAAAAACATTACATTCTGAAGATGACTTTTGAAATTGATTTGTATTATTGAGACCTAGTTAACCAGAAGTGTAGATAGTAGTAATATTGCTTAAAAAAATAATGATCCCATGTATACATTTGTTTAGGTCACAGTTTGTCTATAAAGTACCATAGTATTGAGTCACATAAAGATAGCATGTAGCTCTGATTTTTAAAATTTCTGTTACAAAGAATAGATTAATAACCTATAGTTGTCTTCTGTTCTTTTGATTCGAGGTTGAAGATTTGATTGCCCAGATCCGGGAAGTTTTTATTCAGACTTTGGATGACCTCACTTGGATGGATGCAGAAACGAAGAAGAAAGCTGAAGAAAAGGTAAAGAGTAAGCAGGGCTAATGGGTAAAGAAAAAAATTTTTGTAGGAAAAGATTAACTTTTAAAATATTTAGGAAAAATATAATCAAGGATTGCATAAAACATTATAATCTCCTCCAAGATGTAATGTTTCCAAGAACAGTTTTCATGAATAAAGAATTTTTCTATGATTTCCATTTATTAATCTCTGTAGCCAATACCCACGTTCCATGTTCAGTTTAAAACTTTCAAAGCACTACCATTTTCCTTTTGTTCAAGGAAGACCTTGGAAAATAAGAGGAAAATACTGTATGAACAAATAAAGAATTAAAAGATACTATGTCAATGGTTTATACTTTTTCTCCCTTTATAAAACATATCTAAAAGTTCTCTACAAATGGCCAGAAATGTTTCTTCAATGTATAAGGCAGGATTTTGGTTAAACTTTTAAAACATTTCCTATTTAGCTTTTTATATGACCTAGGAAGAAAAAAATATTAAATTTCTGTTTAAGCAAATGTAAAGTAGTGCATTATTTGTGTATCATAAAATCTATAATTAAAGGGATGTTGAAGAAGCCTTTTTATGGCTACTTCTATCTACTCCTAATGTGCAGCTTTTATTGAAACTTTTAATACCTTACATAAGAATAAATATGGGATTTCTAAGGAAATCATTATTTTAGATTTACTGTGTTAATTTGTCTTTCTAATTATATGAAAACTAGGGGGAACATGTGCTGTGAAAACTGTGAGCATGCTTTGTGAGCAACAATCCACATGCAACCTAGCTATTCCTCTATAGTTAGAGTGGCAGAAAAAACAGACCATTCTTTGGATTGATATAGGAGTCCATAATAAATTTTATTTTAGTAATATAATCAACCTCTACTCTGAAAGTTTTCTTTCAGAATTGAATCAAATTAAATTAAATGGAAAGACTATCATTTTTCAGGTCTCCAAGTGCCCTGAGTGTGTGAGGACTAGCACGTAGACCCCCAGCACAGCTATCTTTCCATCGCTCTGGCCAGTCCCCCAGATGTTCAGGCTGGATTTGCTCCTTTCATGTCATAGCTATCCATGCCATGGTTCTGCCTGGTGTAGCCAACTAAATTGTTCTAGATCAGCATTTCTAAAGTGGCATCATAAAATACTGGACCTGCGGGTTGTTCCACAAGAGTCCCATGGTCAAAAGAGTTTAGTAAACATTCTTGTAGGAAGGCTTCTCTCATCCCACCCTAAGCTAGGTTGTGATTTTTACAGCACCATACATCACACTTGGAAGTTAATATTTATTTCACTGCCTATCATTGCTTTTCATGGTAAATAAACTCTGTGGGGAAAGAAAATTCTACCTAGCATTATATCCTCAGCCCTCTACAAAGTGCCTGGCCTAGCAGACACTTGAACATATGTTGAATGAATAAATCAACAAATGAATTCCTCCTCTTGGACACTTACAATAATCTAAGATTCTAAACTTTGAGTCTGATCTGTTTTCAATTATAAGAAGTCCTGCAATAAAGAAACCTGCTTAATGTTTTTGCTACAGTATTTACCCAAAGTGTTTGACAATACATCTTTTTTATGTAGTACTATTTGTGTTCTGTAGAACTTCTGTCCCTTAGAACGCTATTTAGAGAAATGCCATCTAGGAAATAAAGTATAATTGAGAAGGGGTGGATCTATGATGATTTAATGGTTGGAAACCTACAAGAAAATGGGCTTGGCCTAAATGACTTCAGTGACACATATGCCGCCAGATCCCCTGGGGAAATCCTGGGCTCATGTGATAGATTTGTAACAAAACCTCATCTATCTGATGGCAAACCAAGCAACTCATAGATACAGGCTGAATCCCCCATGAAACATTTAAATTTGCTGAATTATTTAAGAACAACATATGATAGAATCAAAACTCAAGTATCTTTGGGAAAATCAAGAGAGAATAAAAAAATAAAAATAGGAATAGCAAGTAGTAAACAAGTGATAATGAAATTGTAAAAATAAATAAAACAAACCTTTTTAAAATAATAACAATAGAAGATTATTAGAAATAGTAGTAATAAATGGTAAATATGAGCTGGGGTAACAAGGAACACACTGTTTTTCATTTGTTTATTTAATGTCATTCATTTAACTGGAGAAGATAGGTACACTGACTTTGGAGAACAAAGGAGAACATAAAAACTCCAGGAACCAATATTTAGGAAGAATATTAGCACTAAACCTGTAAGACCATATCTGTTTTCTCAGCCAAATCAATGAAGTGGAAAGATAATTATAACCTGCTAGACTGGAAGCTCTAAATATTACCCCTTCTGTAAAACTGAAGAAAATCGTCTTTCACAGAGAAAGTTCATAGAAGTTCAAAACATGTGGAACAATAACTTCTGCCAGTTTTCATTCTGGTTTTTTTTTTTGGGGGGGGGGAACAGCTGCAACCTATAAGAATAGGGCATTAGAAGCTAAATTTCAGACCTCTTTTTTGTTTATTTTTTAACCCCAGGAAGAAAGGAGCCGTGGCAAAGATCTCTGCTTAAGTGTTGTTAGATACTCTTTTTGTAAACAGTATGGATCAAGTTATTCAATTTCTAGTCAGGGGCAAATTATAATGTTTGAACCTGAAAGTGACATAGTCATCTTCACATTCAATTTTCATAGGCCTTAGCAATTAAAGAAAGGATCGGCTATCCTGATGACATTGTTTCGAATGATAACAAACTGAATAATGAGTACCTCGAGGTAAGTCTCTATAAAGACTCTGGGCTAATGACAGTTGTGGCTGGTGGCAATATCATTTTTAGCTATGGGTGCCAGAAATTATGAGAAGTCACCTAAAACCCTGGGTCTTATTATATAAGACCTTTAACATTGATGCCAGAACTATGTTTGTTTTAGCCTTTTGTTTCATTAGCTTGTATTCTATTTGGTTTCTGTTATTTTAGTTTCCATATATACCATTTTAAGCATAGTAAGGAAAATCTGGTTTCCTTTAAAGAGTATCAAGGGGTAGGCATCAAGGTGATGGGCTACAAGGCAGCCATCAGGCTCCTTATCACATCTCATGCACACCTGAAAAGTCAAAGCTTCGGTTTTCCTTCCACTTTCTAATTATTCCCCCCACTGGATAAACCAGTTAATGCTTCCTCTATTAAAAAAAAAAAAAAAAAAAAACACAGCTAATACTTGTGAACTAGAAACTATTTTATTCTCCCAGTAATATAATAATTAAATGCAAAGAAAGTTGATTAACGTCACTATAGTACTGATTTCAGACTCAACTGAGAGTCCTGTTGCTAACCGTGTGGTCACCACAACTATTTGATACCCTGGTGACAACAAGGTGATCCTTGCCCAGGTTCAAGGATGGCAGTCATTCCTCACCCATCGATTACTAGCCTAACATGGTTTGCACACCATAGTGCTCTCTCCTCCTTCTCCATTTGCTGGAAAACTTGTCTTTCTCTTTTAAATGAGCAGGCTGCAGCTTGCAAGCCCCAGGGGTCCTTATGACAGGGGTATAATGGCTAAAAGAATAGAATCAAAGCCAAGTGTTTTGGGTTCAAATTGCAGTTCTACCACTCATTTAAACTTGGGCAAGTGATTAAATTGTATCTCAATTTCCTTAACTTTAAAATGGGGATAGTAGCCCTTTGCTCATAGGATTATTGCAAGGACTAAATGAATATAATACATATTTAAAGTGCTTGGAGTAGTACTTGGCACATAGTATGGTGTTTCCTCGAAAATAAGACCTACCCATAAAATAAGCCCTGGCAGGATTTCCAAGCATTTGTGCAAAAATATAAGCCCTACCCTGAAATTAAGACCTAGTGATGGGTGTGGCTGCGCAATGTATCTGCACAACCCATGCATTTCGTCAGGGAGCGGTAAGGAAGACGAGCAGCCCTTCTCATCTGCCCCGTGAGAGCTCTATTGCTCGACATGAGAGATTGGGGCCAGTGGTTCTAAAGGAAATAGAGTCACAAGAAATTCAGGATGGAATTGGGGGTTTGGAGAGTTATGATGATGTTCCAGAAAAAGACGACTTAACTATATTTGAATAAATGCAGATTGTTGTACCGTACTTAAAAAAAATAACACATCCCCTGAAAATAAGCCCTAGGGTATCTTCTTGAGGAAAAATATAAGACCCTGTCTTATTTTCAGGGAAACACAGTATGTACTAAACAATAATGTGCTATTACCCTTACTTGCTTGTTATGTGAAGATTAATGTCAATATAGTGAGGTTTGTCTGACACTTGGTTTCATTTCATTAATTATAAAAGAATGGACTGACATTGTGATTTGGCTAGAGCAATACTGACCTGTAATATAGAACTAGGTTAATTGGAATGAAATCCTTCTTTAGTAGTTTCTTAATGCTCTCTGTTAACTTTATTAAATCATAGAATTTAAGAAAATATTCTTTATGTTATTTAGAAAAAATTTTGAAGATACTGGTTTTAATATTTTTCCCAAAATCTCTTATATAATATAGTTGAACTACAAAGAAGATGAATACTTTGAGAACATAATTCAAAATTTGAAATTCGGCCAAAGTAAACAACTAAAGAAGCTCCGAGAAAAGGTGGACAAGGATGAGTATGTATATTCCAGTTTCTAAAGTGTTCATTCAGAATAAGGCTTTTCCCTCCCTTCTTTGTTAGATTAAGAAAAAGAGCCTGTGGCTTAGAAAACTGTTAAAAACTACAATGTCCTCTTTCTATTGAAAACCTCTAAAAGCATCTAATTATATTATATTCAAGATATAGGTCAGTAATTTAACCAAATTTAAATTTTTTTACCTTATTTCTTTAATGTCTTCTTATATCATTGCCAGTCCTCTCTAATTTATTTGTGAACAGGGTTCTCAAAAATACCTTAACTTAAGTAACCTAACCCATAGCTCCTTTACACCTTCTCTTAGACCTCATTCTGTATTAAGTATTTTCTTCTGTTGACAGCCCTCCCTTTTTTCTGTTAGTCAGGAATCCTACAACTCCATCCCCTTCCTGGATTGGTTCATGTAATGCTTTTCTTAGCTCTGCAAATAAGAAATACCAGGAACCATTCTCATTTGCAGCCTTGAAATGTTCTTAATCTCTGCTTACTAGTGACATCTGTGCTTCATAATAACTATTCGTTTAGTGTTTATTTAACTAAATAGATGTATTTAACATATTTATCAGCATTTGTATTTATGCGCTTAAATTCCTCCAACTGCTTTTGCTGACTTTTTCCCCCTAGGCTCTTAGCCCCTGTAGAACAGAGGCTATTCTCTTTCGCTCTAAAATCGTAGCAACCAGCACACAGAAGGTTCTCAGTTAAAACTTAATTAATGAGTGAATGAGCATGTGAAAAATAAATGTGCTAACTTGATTTGTGTAACTATTAATAACAAAATAACATGCTAAAGAAGTGCTTCCATACATTCATTTATTCTTTAATCATTCACTTATTTAACTAATAATTTGGAACACTGACTAAGTCCAAGTGTCTTTGGGCACTGGGAGAATCAAAGGTGAACTTTGATTATATTAAATTACAACAGCAGAAAGTAGACAAGACATGATGTAATAAACCATGCCACAGGGAGCAAAATGTTGTGCCAAGAAAAGTACAAAGTGCAGTGAGATTGTTTGATGACAAGACCGTTCTGTTCTCAGTAAAACAAGTACAGGTTGGACAAAATTACTAATGGAAATGCAGATAAATTTTAACCCTTAGTCAACATTTTGAACTGTTGCAACACTGAAGTGCCCTACAAAAGAGTGACCCTTTTGCTGACTTGCAGGTTAATACTGGAGCAAGCATTGTGTTGTCTGGCTCTAAAAATGGAGCTGCAAATATCATAGAAGATTTAGTGTCCCATCTGGGAAAGAACACGTTTGGTGTTATATTATAATAAAGTTATCAAATCCTGTCTCTAGAAACCCATAAAAAGTTGTCAAAAGGAATACTCTAGGTAGATTTATAATCTGAGAAGTTTCTTAGAAGTCTGAATATTTTTATATCTTTAAAAATACAGATAGTTAGATTTAATAATCATTTGCACTATAAAATATCTCCAGACAAATACTGTCAAATATTCTTTCTGAAATGGTGAAACAACCTGTGTTGATAGGACACCAGAAGATTTTCTTCAGAAATTTAAAAATAGTTGTTTATTGCTTGATGTTTTCTTTTGAAGTTAATTTAGTGTCAGTTTCATAATCACTTTGTAACATAACTTACACTGTTTATTCCCTTTCATCATATGGGCTTATTTTCTGAGTCCTTCTCTTTTTAAAGATAGATAATCAAAAGTCAAAATTGTATACAAGATTTTAATGAATATTTGATCAATTATGTGTACACTTCAGAAGTACTATGTGGGTTCTTTCTATGAGCTTCTGATAGTCATAAGTGCAAAATAACTTCTAAGACCTTCTCTACCATACAATGCCAGCTTTTCTTCCTTCTCTGTCTTCTGCTTATATACAGAAAACAAAGGTTCAAAACTCTTGCTACATGTTAGAATCACCTGGGGACCATTAAAAAAATACTGATTCCCTAGGTCAACCACCCTAGATTGTGATGTCATTGCTTTGTGTCCAGGACCCAGATGCTGGTGTTCTAAAGTACCACCTCGCATGTGAGAACCCTGAGTTAGTGTTAGTTCCTTTTCCTATTGTATCATTTTTGTTCATATTTAATTTCGAGGAATTTTTCATAAGTTGATGCCTTTAATGAGACAATTTAAGCTTGAAATTTATTTTTGTCTTCCAAAATAATCAGAAACACTCTTGACAGTAATTGCATCAAATCATTAGGACTGAACCCTATAGGATAATGAAACATGTTGAAAGTTCTCTTATTTTATTGAAATTTATTATAGTGAATGCTTCTGACTTACTTTGTATCCATTTAATAGCAATAAAGCCACTACCCTATATTCTTTCCTTATTTATGTAGTGCCAAGTTTAAGTCCTCACTGCATATGTTCAAACAGATAATCTTTACTTTGTTCACATGGCCTGTGGTTACATCTTGGAGAATCATATTTTCAGATGCTCAAGCTCCTCACTCCCAAGGTCTTGCTGGAGAAATACATGTGCAAACCCAAAACTGAGGGAATGGAAATGAGACACTATAACTGAGGTTTATATTCTAGGGTACTTTAGAGAAATGATGATGCATTAAATTTTCAAGGCAGCAATTCATTTAAACAAATTCAATTAGCCAACTAGTAAACTTCTAGACATTTTCTATTCCCACTCCATATGCTCTCATTTGAGCAAACACATACACTTCTTGACACCTTCTACCATTGTTATGACAGCTGAATATTTGTATCTGACTCAACTCAATTCGCTGAGCTCCAGACCCAAATGTCTAGCTGCTTATGAAACATCTCTATGGAGATGTCTCATTGACTCTACAAGCACAGCATTCGTCATTTAAGGAAAATCAATGATCTTGTCTCCCTGTATCTACCCATTTCCAACAACATCCATCTTATTACTCCCCAGACAGAAACCAGGGACTCAAATCATCCTAAACTAATCCCTTTCTGTCATCCTTGACATCTATAGAGATATCTAATTTAAATCTCCCTACACACACAAAAAAAATTCTATATCCACCAGTGCTATTCAAATATATGGGAATGGGGGGGAATCTCCACCTTACCATCCCCATTGTCGCTTCCTTAATTCAGACACTGCTCATTGTTCACAGAGTTATTTCGTTTCCTAGTTTTTATCACCAGTCATCTTATAAATCTTTAGTTTATCCTCCATGCTACCGCCCTAGAGATTTTTGTGAGACATAAATTGAGTCATATCCTTTCCAGACGAAAACATTGCAAAGTATCCCTGTTGTCTGTCTCGGGAAGTATGACCTCTTTAAAAAGAGGTTCAAGGCTCTTTGTAACTCCCACTAGTTCTCCAGAATTCCTTTAAATTCACCTTATCCCCCACCAGTGCCTGAAGCTTCAGCCATACGAATTACTTCCAAATCATTCCATTTTCTCCCTCTTGGTTTCATGACTTGGACCACTCTGTCTGCCCTTGTTCTTCTAACAGAAACCTACATATGGTTTGACTCAGCTTGAGTGTCCCCCTTACTCATAGCACCCCATTACATGTTTGTCTTCACCTTGTGCCTGTACTATGCCTTATACATTCTAGTCAAAGTACCAGTACATTTTACTACATTTAATTACAACTAGCCCATATGGAAAGCAGAAAGATATCTTTGTGTCAACACTTGAAATCAGCTTGAAAACTGATGAACATGATGTAGACACTTCATAAATGTTTATGAGGTGAATAAATGATAAAATAGCCAGTTTGTAATGCTGATAAGGCTAACTCAGCTGCTAAAATGAAAATTGTCACATCCAAGCATTTCATCATCATGGCTGGTAAAGACGTGCAACATCGAGCTCACCAAATTAAAAAAATTGCAGAAGTCAAAAGTCTGCAGGTGATACAGCCAAGTTAATCATTTGGCTGCAAGGGCTTCTTTCTGCCCATATGGGCAGCCAGCACCTACAAAGGATAGGGATTTAAATTTAAAAAGCTCTTGGTTGTGGTCCCTGAGTGCCTAGTATGTGTTCCAAAAATTATCTTAAACATTATGTCTTCTAAGTATTTGGTGCCAGTTTGTAAAGAATTTCAAACATATCATATTATAAAATGGAAATAGTGCTAAATTATGAGATTATTCACTTAGAGTTCATAGAACAAACATAAACCTCTAAAGAAAAAAGGTATACAAGAACAAAACAAGATAAATCTCTTTTGTTGGGTTTAGACACAATGTTATTTTGCTAGATTCTCAGGACAGAACTTTCTGTGATATAATTGTAATAGGGAGTGCTAGTGTTTGTGAATCATGACTGTTGGAGCCCTGGAGTTATTCTTCATAAACTACAAAGACTTATTTCATTGCTGGATCTCTCTTGCTATTATGCAGCAAAATAAAAACACACTGGCATTGACAAGAGCCAATTCAATAAAGATTTATTGAGCAGCTACTATGTGCAAAGCACTGTGCTAAATATGGTAGAGGTTAAAGAGACGAATAGGATGTTGCCCTTCACTGGGGAGCCTACAATCCCAAGAGGCAGGTGAGGAAAAATTAAATCTGAAGAAAGGCAGTATTTGCTGTGCTATTACAGAGAAACAAAATTCTACAACAGCACTTTCTTTAAATCACAATTAAACCTTTACTTATTAGTAAAACATTTCTGAGAACAATATGTTAGCATTTAAATTAATACTGGGGTGAACACAGGATTCACTGAACACAAAACAAAACAAAAATGGGTGGCTCATTTCTGTATTCCCTTGGTTGCTTCAAGCCTGCCGTTTTTTTCTAATCTGGGCTAACTGAGTGGTGGCAAGTCCCTGAAATAAGTGGACTCCCCACTGAAGCTGGCAGCTCAATAGCTGTGACTCTGTGGTTCTTCCTGAAAGGCCAGTACCACCAAAAATGGCAGGGAAGTTGGCACCCTGTGAAGTGACACCATAGTTTTGCCACTGCAATGAATCTCTAATACTCTTTTAGTGTCCCATTTCGGCCAGTTACCATCTGTGGCCTTTTAAAAGCCGTGC